CCATCGTGGTGTCCCGCGGGCGCTTGCGCAGGTTCATCTGGATTTTGCTAACTCTGAGTGCGGTCGGGCTGATCCTGTGGCAGTGCGCTGAGCTCCTCATGAACTATTACAGCGCTTCCGTGTCCGTCACCGTCCAGTTCCAGAAGCTGACCTTCCCAGCCATCACCATCTGCAACATCAACCCCTACAAGTAAGACACAGGGACCCCGGGAGGTCTGCCCAGGTCCAGGGGAGGGCACGAACCGGTCCCCTGCGCCAGGCACGGGCACGCTCGCAGGGAGCCACGCAGCCGTCCTCGGCAAATTCATCCTCTCTCACCTGCCCCGCACCAGGGCTCTTTGGTGGGCTCTGCCTGCCGCGCTGCGGTGCTGCTCTCTAGCAGCCTCTCCTTACTGTTATTTTCCCTTTATAGCACTTCGAATAATGTAGCTGCCCAAGCGCTAATGCTGCTCAGACACTTGTGGATTATAATCACATCCTTCCCTCCCTGCCTGCTAGGTCTGTTTAGCTTGCAGCTCAAGGCAGATCCTGATCATTTTTGTGGTTCTCTTAAATTCTCCTTTTCTTTTTTTTTTTCTTTCTTTTTTTTTTTTCTCCAGCACGAGGGTTTCAAGGATTACAAACAGCCCCCGGCTCCCAAAAAATGGAAAGGGGACATGGACATCTGTCACCCCCTTTTCTTTTTTGTTTCCCCCTGTGGGATGCATGAACAATCAACAATTAAGCTGTTTTTTTTTTTTTCCTGCCTAATTACACTTCATGTTGATGCCTGTTCTGCTGTGATCTGTCCATCTCAGTCCCTCCAGGCATTTCAACTCTCTGGGTCCCTTTTGTCTCTAGGAATCTGCCCCTTAGATCACATTGCCACAGGTAGTGGTCTTAATTTTCTCAGCTGAGTGTCTTTATACTTTCTGTCCACCTCTCTGGTCTCTCTTGTGTTTTACAATCCTTCTCCTTTGGTAATTCATGCTCTGTGCCCTCGAGCTTACTAACCAGGCCAGCAAGGAGCTCGAGGGAGCTGCTGGTGTTTTCCCCAGAGCCCGGTCTGTTCTGCGTCTGCTGGTCCCTTCTGTGCGATCTCGCAGCGGGCAGCACCGTGCCTGCCTTGCTGACCCAGGTAGCACTGAGCAGGAAGCACCGATGGTCGCTCTGCGGCAAGAAATTCTGTCCCGGGCCATTAGTTTCACAGCACAGTGACAAAATGCTGCAATGAGGACGTTAGATGAGATGAATGACACACAGTTTTATATCACATTTTCTTCAATGCAGGTACAGTGCAATGAAAGACTATTTATCTGACCTGGACAGAGAGACAAAAAATGCTCTGGAGACTTTCTATGGATTTTCGGAGGGCAAATCCAAGGTGCGCCGCTCGGTTGGTGACGGGAACGGCACAGGGAGCGAGTTCTTCCAGCAGATCCCCCTGCTGAAGTTTGAAGACTTCTCCAAGACGGTCACTGACCTCCACAGTGGCCAGAAGAGAAAAATTGAGGGCAAAGTCTTTCACAAAGATTCATCCATAGTAAACTCCGGGGATTCGAACGATATCATCGGCTTTCAGCTGGTAAGTGTCGCTCTCCCCTGGCCAGCAAGTTCCTTGTGAGCACAAGGGACGGCTGTTTGGGCTGGTGTCCCACGGCGCTGCATTACTGCTTGCATGGGTGCCTCAGCCACGTGTCCGCGGCTGCCTGCGGATTCACTTGTGACTCCAGAAATCCCCGCCTGAAGCCCGGCCAAAATAGACTTAGTGCCAGCCTGACCTCCCCGTAGAGCCTGAAACATCTGACCCCGACATACAGCCCCAAAGTCAAGGGTTATTTTTTGGTGCTCCATTGTCCCTTTGCTGCAACTATAACTTTATATTTCATTATATTTGTTTCAAAAAGAAGCTTTATCACACATACTTTATAGAATGCATAATTTATTTTCATCTGAAAGAATGCTTGCTTTTTCCTTTTTGTGATTACCAGTGCGATGCGAACAACAGCAGCGAGTGTGCCCTTTACACATTCAGTTCGGGCGTTAATGCTATCCAGGAATGGTACAGGTTGCATTACATGAACATCATGGCACAAATTCCCTTGGAGACTAAAGAAAAACTGAGCTATTCTGCCGATGAGCTTATACTGACATGTATCTTTGACGGCCTCTCTTGTGACAAAAGGTCAGTGCACAGAAAATACCTGCTGGTTTAACAGTTTGTTTCTAAATATACAGTGTGTAGGAGCTGAGCATTTGCTATTCAGTGAATTCCAGCAAGGACCCCTTCCATTTTTAAAGGAAAATAAACATTCAAAGCTTCATGCATCTTAACTGTGTTCTTTAATCTCATTTGCCTAGTGTTGCACTGCCCACATTTCAGAGAAATCCTTATTTTCTTGTCAGAGTGAGACCTACCTGCTTGTGATTTTGGCAACGCAATTCCAAGCAGGAGGATCTTTCCATAGTGCCGGGGTTGACAGCAGAGGTCCCCCATGCACAATAAAATCACACTTTTATTTTTTTGCATTAGCAGCTTCCCAAGTGACACGTGCCAAGCTGTAACTCACGGCTTAGCAGGTACGGCTGGATCGTTGCTGGAAGCATTTTGCTGATGTCAGCAATAGTGCAAAGGCATCACACATTTTCTTGGATAAAGACTTTTGCTAGAATGGGCCGGGTGGTTCACAGGTAAGACACAGGCGTGCTCAAATCACCAGGGTGTTTCCTCAGCCGCCCCCAAATGACAGCGGCTAAGCCATTTTTTTTTCTGAAAAAACAAATGAGGATTTATGGTCCTTCTGACACTTGGGAGCTGAATAAAAGAGGACTCTGTCCCCATGACTTCCCTGCTAGTTTTGTAATTCTGCCTTCCCCACCCTCTACGTCCCCTTCCCCACATGAAATACTTCTAAACTTTTCATTTCCGACTGCTATTAAAGCAGGTCATATTTCCACCTACTTTCAAGATACTAAAAAAAAAAAAAGAAAAAAGACATTGCAGCAAATAAAGTCCCTGTCAAAAAGAAAAAAAAAATCCTAAAGGAAAAAAAAAATCGAATCGTGCTAAATCTCTGTCAAAAAAAAAATCGATTGCAGTAAGTCTTTGCCGCAGACAGTTAAAACTGCAGAGGGCAATGTAACAGTATTTGATTTCTTTTAGGCACTTCACTGGTTTCCACCATCCTCTGTACGGCAACTGCTACACCTTCAACAGCGGAGAAAACGAGACCGCCCTGAGCACCTCCACCGGCGGCAGCGAGTACGGTA